GGCAAAATGGAGATAGAGGTGGAAGATTGTGAAGTGGAGAAAAACCGTAAGTGTTGTCTCAAAAATATGGCTAACATCGCAACTATGTAGACTCACCGGTGTCGCTGCTGTAGGGACGTCAGTTGTAAAGGATATTTTCAATGGGGTAGTTGTGCTAATGCGTAGGGCCGAACGAATGCCGTAAATGAAATAGTTGATCTTGTAGAAAAAGCAAACTGAAATTGCGGCGGAATACTGGGTCGGTCACATCCGAACGGAAGGTTCAGTAGGTTGGAACAAACTCGCTCCCGGTTGGGGCCGGGTAAAAAATTATTCGTTGCAACTTCAGGTTGAAGTGAGTGAGCAGTGAAAGCCGAGGGTAGGAAAAAATAGTTGCTGGAGTGCCATCAGACTGGGTACGGCAGTACTGTACCATCATTACACTGGAATACATCGGTTTCTGGACAGCTCCTTAACGGATGTCGAAGTTGCAGCAATCGGACAGTGGATGCTCATTCCCGTAATTGCTGGATCTGTGTTAGACGAGAGGACTGGTACAGGTAAAGCCAGGCCGATATACGGTCACAGGTAGTCTTGATCGAATTCTGGGGCCTTGTGGGTGTGAATCAGGAATCGGGCAGATTAAATGAATGGCGGCCACACTGGGTGTTTGCAACAGCTACTGCCGGAATTCAAAGTTTTGGAAAAGGACGCTTGCGGTAAGTTTCTGGAACTGCCAGTAACACAAAAATAGGTGAGGTCCCTCGGGGTTTATCAGCTGACTCAGCGCTCTTCACTCTCAGCATGAAACAAACCCAGGCTCACAAAATTCGATCTTACTAGACAACGGAGAACACAACACCTCCATTTTAATAATCGTCAATAGACGCATAAACTTGACCCCCGAAAATGAATTATCGCCATGAACAAAAGCTACGGAACATACATTTGTTACGATGGCCTAAGCCAGCTCGCCGACTGAATTGGTAGGTGCTACACTGGGTTTGTCAACAAATAACTGTTTTCGAAAACGGAACCCATGGAAATTAACTGCGGTAGACCTCACCAATATCTGCCGATTAACTTGTTTTGGGCAACAATTAGGAATGCAAGTTACCTGTCATTCAACCGGGATGATCCTTGGTCCTGTTTATGAAATGTTGCTCAGTTAAACGACAAGGTCTAAGACATTTGGGCACAAGAACAAGAACTTGAAGAACACTAAGGTCTAGTCATGTCTTGAAGCTTGGTACCCAAAATTTAGGCCCGAGCAAATTTCGCAAAGGCCATATAAACTTTGGCCTTCTCCCTGTTAGTTTTTGGACACACCAAGGGTTGCATCCATTTGGTTACCTGATTAGCCAAAGTGGGTATCGGTTCCAGAAAACAAAAAGATGATATTTGTATGGAATGCCTGGGCGCCCTCGAGAGCAACAAGGGAATAATTGAACCGAATCGTCCTATGAACCACACACGCCTTTTGGGCCAATTCCCCTTAGTGAAACAAGGGTCGTATGCTTGAATAAAGCCAGCCACGTAAGTTTATTCTGAGCCCCACCTTCGTTCTAGCTTCTAATCAGTTCTCATCATGTGCGACAGGGGGCCCCTCTGAGTTTCCTCTAAAGGACATAAAAACACTTTTTTATCACCCATGAGAAGATGCCCGGCAAGTGTCCATCGCTATGCGGCATCAAATGTTCACGAGTGCCGGTAGCCAAGATAGAAAGAAAGTTGAGCGGTCCCGAGGCGGCGACTTTGGAACTTCAATGGCGGCCGGTGCAAAACGGTAGGTCGCTCCAGCAATCATTCAAGACATTCTATCTAAAAGCCAAGCCTCAATTTACAGTAGAATTCCTCCTTAAAACTCACAGGCCTTTATTTTGTAGCACACCGGTACATGTGGAACTCGAAAGAATGGTTTAAGAAGATCGAAATACATGGTGTTCAAAACAAGTCTTTTCTCTTTGACTCCCATTGCACTGACCATGAGCGCACGCATATCCTTCGAAGAGAAGCGATGCATATCAGGTTGTAAGTGATGTGGCTTCATAGAATTGCCCGTTGTATGATGATTTTCATCACAGTGCACTCTGAATAAACGTTGGGTAGAAATATATGGCCAAGCTGACGGGTAATTCCCACAGAATTCTTAGATGACCCCATCCGTATTCGACTTGTCGGCTCAAAAGACATTCGCCGCTCTACGAATGATTCCGCATCACTTCTCTCACACTCCTGGCACGGACTTCCTAATGCTCTAAGGGGCCTGCGTCAGACCGCTTTTGAATATGTCAACCAAGTGGTCTACGCAGGACGCAAGAAGGACGTGATCCTTATCGAGCGTATCCAACGAGCTGCCACAAAAATGGTTACCAGCCCTAAATCCGTGGATGATGAAACGCGTCCCCAGGGTGCTCAATTATTCCCCGTAGAGTATAGTCGAAAACGAGGAGACCTAATACTTACTCTTACCTTGATTAATCAAGGTTTGGCAAACATGGTTCTCACAGTTGATCCAGCCAGCGCACGGCTGGAATAAGATTTTCAAGCTCAGATCGCACACCTTAAATAAGCAAAATTTTCCTCAGTTCGGAGAGTTGCCGCCTGGAATGACCTTCCTCCCACGGTTGTTCACGCTACATCCAATACCCAGTTCAAAGCAACATTAGGCGCTTTTCATGCAGATCATTGCGCTGGCAAGCTTACTACCCCGCGGTGAGAACTACACCCATTTATCGCTTGCGCGTTTCTGGTGAACAGAAGCCGCTGGAAGACAACAATAAAAGTGACCCGAGGAACTTGAACAAAAGCCTCGATCCTGTGTACCAATGCATGAATATGTGAGTGCATTATATCTCTCGTCGGGTTAAGTAGTTAGCACGGCGATGTGATGAGTCGCAGTAGTTCAGCTGACAGCGTATTTGGTGTTTTTAATAAGTACATCGCCTCCTCAGTTTGGAAGTTACTTAAATGGTCTGGAGTATGCTTGCCACTGGCTCACCGACGGGATAAGCTGAGAACCGAAACAACCATGAGCATTGGATATCGTTGCGGAAAAATAATAATGGGCACGAGCTGGAGGTTTTGGGGGATTATTTGATTTCAGAGAATCCTCCGCGGTGCACAGCGAGGGGCAGGATGGCATACATTCTCAAGGATTTTAAACTATAACTGAGATCTCATCACTGATTGACGTGCTTCCGATGAGAGTCGCTTGGGGTAATCTGTCGTGGAACTCCATGGCTGGGCAGGAGGTACAGAAGCGACGACACATATCCGTGGCAAGACCGAGTCGGGCCGGCTAGGCGTTGATTCCGGCCTTTAAAGCTGCTTTTGGAACGATATCGCGAGGAGATCATGGGTTGATGCCCCAAAAGCTCCTGATGGCCAAATAGTATTAGTTGTTAAGGAATATGAAGCATGACGGAGGGGCGAAAACTGACACGTCTTTTTTGTGGCTGGCCCAGTTATTCCATCAGTGAACCGTGTCCACCTGGGCTCTACTTAAGTCGTGGTGTATCGACAAATAATGGTGATGAAGTGGGATGGCTCTGTGGTTATGAGCATGGAGCCCCGAGAGGGTGTGCGGTCACGTCCACGGTGACTACTGGGACAGACGAATCAATGCACGATATAGCCTGAAGCGACAACTTCCGGGTCTGTTGTGGACCTGGAAGCACGCACCTTGCTATCAAAGACAAGAGCGGCTGGTTAGAGCTGTATGTGGGGACAAGGGGTATCCTTTTATCCGACTAAGATGAACTAGAGGTTGGTGGTTTTCCATCGGCTTGTCCGAATCACTGGGTTAGAATTCTGATCCTTTTTGACAAAAAAGTGGCTGGGAGAGTTGACTGTGTGAATAGTGGCGAATTTATCTGTTCCAGTGAATGGGATATTTGGACAGTAGGAAAGGATAATCTGGGAGCACAGTTGGTTCTCCATATTGAGAATGTTGGAGTGCTACCACTTTAGGGACCATGTGGTTTTAGCTGACCATAGGGTGTGTCCCTCTGAAGATTAAGCGATTTTGCAGATCATGAGGATAAGATACCAAAGTTTGAGATTTGAAGAGGGTAAGTTAAAGTGGGTCAATGGAATTATCGTGGACTTCGGAACTGCGACTCGCAGCATTTTCACTCACGAGGTCCGACGATATGGGAACTTCACTCTAGGCGGTTTTGAGGACACGATGAGCTTGTATAGCTCATCCCTTCTCCGCAGCTGAGGTGATGACCGGCAGGTGAAGGGTGACTGTTAAACTGTTTCCAGAAAAAAGGCTGCTGGTTACCTTGAAGGTTAGTTGAGCATGCAACTTGATCAGGGACTGTGTGGAACCCTTTCGCCTAACTGATGGCCTCTCATGATGAGGTATTAGATCAAGCTTCTGAATTAACGTAGGTGGATACAGAAATGGAAGAAGTGACCTTCGGATGACGAGCGGCTGGCTGTGCTACGCAGGCACCTATCATACAGCAACGCGGTGGGTGATGGCGGCAATGTCTTCGATTAATCTTCACGTTGTTTTTCGTGCAGTTATATGGATCACCAGGTGCCCGCCAGCTGAATGTAATTTACCGAATCTAGCCATCTGGAGTCCTGATAAGTCCGGTGTCAGTGTAATTTTTTTTCTGAGGGTTTGAACAGGGTTGGAATAAGGCAAGCGGTAACAACAGCACACCAGCAGGCAGGACAACAGATGAACGAAAGGCGGACCAAGGGACAGGGCTAGCGGTTGGCAACATGGGACTTAAGCTCGGGCAATGAACATCTCGGAGGTAAAGTTAATGCACTTTTCGCTATACTATCACGAAAAGCCTTTACACTGTAGCCTTCGGCAACTTGCTTGCCGCATCCCTGTTGGATTCGGCAGTGAAACTTCTTAGAAGCAACACCCTTGTACTGACCCGGAAAGCGGCGCAGCGGATATGGAGTATGACCTATGCCCCGTAAAGCTAATGCGGTCATCGTTGTCGCTAGCCTAAACACTAAACCTTCGCGCGGTTTTTAAAAAAATTCCGCGGATGGCTGATTTGACTGTTTCCGCGCCTACCGTAAGCAAATCGACACCTTTTGGTCTATATCATATGATTATTAGAAGGCAGGATCGATCGAGGAAGAAGAAGAGCGTAAACTGAAAACGAAGTATCCTGGACTAGACCGACAGGGTGTTGGATCCCTCATGCTCCAAAAGCGGCTAAACCGAGGAGTAAGTGGCTAGGGTGTTTTTGGTTTTTGGAGTAGGCTGGAACAACGGCTTTTGGGAGTATATTGTGAATGTCACTGTTACCACAACTTTTGGATTCTCCATCTTTTCACGACCTATGAGGAGTACATGAAAGGTTCCGTAGGATTTTAATAATGAATGGAACCTCAATTTGGTTTATATGCACTGCAACATCATTTTTAAGTGTTTGTTCCAGTCGCTCTCCGTCTTTGTGTAAGATGTAACGCTTTTTTAAATATAATCCCCGGCGACTTACGTGGTCTCTACATGCATGTGATGGGAGTGTTGTTGACATAGATCAGTGCTACCTAATGCGCCATTCAGCGGTGGTAATGGCGTCAACCTACGCTGAATATTCGTTAATGAAGGTGAAGTTTGATCGCGGCACGAATATGTATT